TTGGAAGGGAGTTAGTTGTCCCCAAATCTCTACGGCAAGAAGCGGAAGGGAAAAATCAAACAGCCGAAGCTAAAGAGAACGAAGATACGATCCCCGAAAACTTTGTGCAAAGATTAGGCAAACTCAAAGAGTGTTTTGACCTAGCCCGTCTTAATCTGTCCCGAGCTTTCACTTCACAGAGTCACTATTATAACCTTCGACGTCGAGATTGGAAATGTACTCTAGGAGACCTAGTTATGAAAAAAGAACACACCTTGTCATCCGCCATTGATCACGTCGCCGATAAATTGGCACCGAAATATTCTGGACCATATACCGTCGTAAAAGTCGTATCCCCTAAAATCAGGTGCACATCAAGGACTTAAAACCCGCAATCGAAAACGAATAGTTTGTATCTTTTGCAGCCATGAATAGAAAACCAAAAACCGACGCCCTCCCTAAACTAATCCCCTTAGAAGACCGGAAGCGGAAAATGACCTCCGAGGCCCAAAGAATCCTGGCTGCCAAACGGGTCGCCTACCGCTTAAAAAACGCCAGGCCATTAGACCAAACTGTTGTAGACCTGGTGACACCCGAGCCTCCCAAAAAAATAATAATTCTGCAGGACATATCGTTACCCACCTTGAAAACACAGGATGAGCCCAGGGAAGGTCCCTTAAGTCCGATAGAGGTACGCGACCTGCTGTGGAAGGACGCAGAAGCCGAGTGGGTAAATTACGAGACCCCGCCTCCTAACTCCCTCTTTACCAACCTCCCGCAACGTGGCCCAAGTTACGAAAATTGGATACTGAAAGAGGAGCTGGCCCAAGCTCTTCTTTCAGTGACCGAGAGATCCAAGCCACTTATAATATCCCCGAAATTGGTGGCCCGGGCGCAAGCCCTTCGACCGCCGAATTCTGATGTCCGCCAGAAGTACCGGCTTTCATTTTATCTGAAATCACAATGGTTTCGGTTTACCCTACCGGCCCTCCCTTCATAACGAGATGGGGCCACCGTTTTTTTCTTCATGTAAATATTCATAAGTTAAGTTTTTTTTTAATTAATATTGAAATTTTATATTTTTTTTGTTTGTGTTTCCTAGACATTAAATAAATAATAATAAAAAAAAAATGTTTTTTTTTTGGCTGCCGAAATTATGAAGCTGAAACTAGCAGCCAGAGTTAGCAGCCTGTGTGAGAAAATACATACAAGTTATATTTCACAAAATAAAGCAATAATACTACTTAATTTGTCTTATTATAATAATATTAGTAATAATAACAATAATAATGATAATAAAAAAGCGAGGACATCCGTATTTGGAAAAAAATTATTAGTAAAAATGATATAAATATAGGTACTTTAAAAAAAAACTTTAAATATATATTCAAATTTCTTTTAACGAAAAATGATCGGCCCTGGATTAAATCATACATAAATAGATTCTTCAAGTAATAAGGTACAAGAACACATCAATCAAAAAAACTATCGAGTGCTGGATTGTTGGAATTATTATATTTGTATGCTAAAGTAATACCTAACACAAAAAACATATTGTTTTTTAATGAAAAATTAACGGCGCTGGGGTTTATCGTACATAGATGGAATCCTTAATCAATATGCTATAAAAACCAGTTAATTAGAAGTACATTATCGAGTGCTAGAACTTTGAAAATATCAAAAAACTTTTAGGCTCGAAATACATTTCCAGTAAAAATGTGATTTCTCTTAACGAAAAACTATCGGCGCTGGGTTATATGATACATCAGTGGATTACTTAAGCAATAGGCTATAAGAATACGTCAATATAAAATGCAATATCGAGTGCTAGAACTTGGAAAATAACAAAAATTAGTAAGGCTAGAGAAATATTTCTCGTAAAAATATGATTTTTCTTTAAGAAAAATTTACGGCGCTGGGTTTTATCGTACATAGATGGAATCCTCAACCAATGTGCTATAAGAATCAGTTAATCAAAAGTACATTATCGACTGCTAGAACTTTTAAAATATCAAAAAACATTCAGGCTCGAGAGACATTTCCAATAAAAGTGTAAATTCTCTTAACGAAAAACTATCGGCGCTGGGTTATATGATATATCAGTGGATTACTCAAGCAATAGGCTACGAGAATACGTCAATATAAAATACAATATCGAGTGCTAGAACTTGGAAAATAACAAAAATTAGTAAGGCTAGAGAAATATTTCTAGTAAAAATATGATTTTTCTTTAAGAAAAATTTACGGCGCTGGGTTTTATCGTACATAGATGGAATCCTCAACCAATATGCTATAAGAATCAGTTAATCAAAAGTACATTATCGAGTGCTAAAACGTTGAAAATATCAAAAAACTTTCAGGCTCCGAATACATTTCTAGTAAAAATGTGATTTCTCTTAACGAAAAACTATCGGCGCTGGGTTATATGATATATCAGTGGATTACTCAAGCGATAGGCTACGAGAATACGTCAATATAAAATGCAATATCGAGTGCTAGAACTTGGAAAATAACAAAAATTAGTAAGGCTAGAGAAATATTTCTCGTAAAAATATGATTTTTCTTTAAGAAAAATTTACGGCGCTGGGTTTTATCGTACATAGATGGAATCCTCAACCAATATGCTATAAGAATCAGTTAATCAAAAGTACATTATCGACTGCTAGAACTTTGAAAATATCAAAAAACATTCAGGCTCGAGAGACATTTCCAATAAAAGTGTAAAATCTCCTAACGAAAAACTATCGGCGCTGGGTTATATGATATATCAGTGGATTACTCAAGCAATAGGCTACGAGAATACGTCAATATAAAATACAATATCGAGTGCTAGAACTTGGAAAATAACAAAAATTAGTAAGGCTAGAGAAATATTTCTCGTAAAAATATGATTTTTCTTTAAGAAAAATTTACGGCGCTGGGTTTTATCGTACATAGATGGAATCCTCAACCAATATGCTATAAGAATCAGTTAATCAAAAGTACATTATCGACTGCTAGAACTTTTAAAATATCAAAAAACATTCAGGCTCGAGAGACATTTCCAATAAAAGTGTAAATTCTCCTAACGAAAAACTATCGGCGCTGGGTTATATGATATATCAGTGGATTACTCAAGCAATAGGCTACGAGAATACGTCAATATAAAATACAATATCGAGTGCTAGAACTTGGAAAATAACAAAAATTAGTAAGGCTAGAGAAATATTTCTAGTAAAAATATGATTTTTCTTTAAGAAAAATTTACGGCGCTGGGTTTTATCGTACATAGATGGAATCCTCAACCAATATGCTATAAGAATCAGTTAATCAAAAGTACATTATCGAGTGCTAAAACGTTGAAAATATCAAAAAACTTTCAGGCTCCGAATACATTTCTAGTAAAAATGTGATTTCTCTTAACGAAAAACTATCGGCGCTGGGTTATATGATATATCAGTGGATTACTCAAGCAATAGGCTACGAGAATACGTGAATATAAAATACAATATCGAGTGCCAGAACGTTGAAAATAACAAAATATATTTACACTCGAGAGACACGTCGCATAAAAATGATTTTTTTTAATGAAAAATTATCGGCGCTGTGTTAAATTATATCTGTGGATTCCATAAGCCATTGTCTACCATAATACGTTAAACAATAATAAAATATCTGGTGCTGGATTGTTAAAATTATTATATTTGTGTGCTTAATTAATCTTTAACACAAAAAACATGTTTTTTAACGAAATATTGACGGCGCTGGGTTACATCATACATAAGTAGCATCCTCAAGTAATATGCTATAAAAATATATTAATTAAAAGAACAATATCGAGTTTTAAAACGATGAAGTGAACAAAATATATTTAAGTTCCAGAGACACTTTACATAAAAATATGATTTTTCACAACGAAAAATAATCAGCACTGGTTTATATCATACTACATCAGTGAATTTGTTAAGCAATAGTTTACAAGAATACGTCAAACAAAAATACAATATTTAGTGCTGGATTATTAAACTTACTATATTTGTATGCTAAAGTAATAAATACAAGTAACAAAGAATTTTTCATAATGAAAAATTATCGGCACTGGGTTAAATCATACATCAATGGATTTCCTCAAGCAACAGATTACAAGAATACGTTAATCGATAATACAATATTGATTTCTCGAATGTTTAAAATAAATATATTTATGTTCGAGAGACACTTCACATAAAAATATGATGATTTTTCTTACTGGAAAATTATCGGCACTGGGTTATATCATAAATCAATGAATGCATCAAGCAATATGCTATAAAAATCGTCAATATAATATCAAGTTCTGAATTAGTTTTGAAATTATTACATTTGTGTGCTAGGGTAATACTTAACATAAAAAACATGATTATTTTTAAATAACGCTGCTGGGTTATATCCTAAATGAATGGATTTCTCAAGAAAAACGAAACAATACATTAGTCATATGTACAATATCGAGTGTTAAAATTATCAAAATATAATTAGGGTCGAGACCTCAAGTAATATTTCACAAGAATGCGTCAATCGAAAATACAATATCGAGTGCCGAGTTGCAATAAATATGTTCCTCACTGCTTTCATCTGGAAGCACTTCATTATTTTGATGTTACTCTTACTGGCATATCCCCACAGCTAAATGTCCACAATGGTTTGAGTACCTGTACATACATGGGTAATTTGTTAAGTCAGAATGCTTTCCAATTTTCCAATATATTTTCGTATTTTTATTCCTAGCTCTTCCTTTATTTGGTTTTCCAGCGCAGCCTAGCGATCAAAGTTATTAAATATTTTGCTGTAGCATTGTAAGGTATTTGGGTATTATTTATGGTAACTGGAACATGTTTCATTCGCCAGCGTTCTGTCAAATCGCTTATTTCTAAAGCGAATTTCAATTGTTGTAAAATAATTTTATTATACTTTTCTATATAATCTATATGATCTAATCTATACCTAATTGGGCTCAATTTTGTTAATGACGATTACATCTACGAGTTTCATAGGCCTGTTGTTCAGTCATAAGATGCTTTAATGATGAGAAATATTCTACTGTGGATTGAGAGCCTAGTGGAGGTGAATTTACTGTAACAAGTTTTATTGTCAATGATCATAGATTTAGATAATTTTCCTTCGGTAAATATAGAATTTCGATTTTTCTCAATATTTTGTTGCCTATTTTTATTTTCATCAGTACTTTGGAGTAGAGTCACAATTCCCATCCGAATATTCGGCATATCATCTTCGGTGAAAAAAACATATGAACTGATAGCTAAAAGAAATGCCCATGTCAAAATATGTGTACCACAATTATTAGCAGTAGATTTTTGTTTTGATACTTGCGTAGGAATATCCTTGGGAACGTACAGAACCCATTCGGTCCAATCGATGTTTAATTTATTTTCTGTATGGTAATTAATAAAATCAACCATCTGGTTTATCAAACCCGTTGGTGGATCTAGATGTAAAGAATCTAAATACACTAAACATTTATGTCGTAAATTAACAATTAGTAATGACCAATGGTTTTTAGATCTGTCACCAACTGGCACCACCCATATTTGATGCGTCCATATTTTAACTTTTTGGGCCCATCGATGAAATCCATTCGGTATATGGTTATGTGTTAAAATTTGTTCAGCAAGAAAAGTCTCAAAACACAAAATATCAAAATTATTATTACTAGCTATATTTTGTATTAAAATTAAAAAACTATTAATAATATTATCATCTATCTCTTCATTAGGTAGCATAGTCTTCCAGCTAGTACGATCTAAATATAGACCATATAAATATATTTTTTTTGTCACAAAGCTAGGGGGATAACACGATACTTGTCGTAATGAATTTAAATTACTTATTAGATTTTGAGATAATGTAATCTGTTCTTTTTTCTCTAAATTTTTTAAATCTGTTTTTTTCGTACAAATCTCTAATTTTTCTACGTTTAATTTTTTATTACAACTAGAATCCTTTTCTTTTACATTCTGTAGATTTTCTAGTTTTAATATTTTTTCTGCACGGACTCTCTTCTCGAGTTGTATTAAGCCTTCAGCATCTTTTAGGTATTTTGGAATACAAAAATACCGCTTAGATCTATCCCATGATTCACACGCCAAATCCCATGGTATTCCTTTCATTTTGTTTTTGTTAATTTTTAGATGTTGTTTAATGATAATTTTATTTGCATTTGTAATATTAAAATTTTTGTTGGTGAATTCATTATTTTCGTCAGTATTTCGAATTATTTCATTGTGTTTTTTGTGTTGTGCATTTTTACGTTGCCGAGAGGTAATTAGGGAATATTTCCGTTCCGTTATTCGTGGTTTAATTTCATTTGACAAAATTCTAACTAATCGAGAAACTGGAATATTTATTTGTTTATTTAATATGTGGTGTTTTAAAATTTTAAACCATCCTTCTACTGAAGCGTTACTTTCACGCAATATTCCAAAATATGCAATAACCATTGCCGACCACAATGGAAAAAATGGAAGATAATATTCCTGAAAATATTCAAAAAATTCTGGAAGGTACAATGAATTTGTATTAACATTTTCAATCGATTTGTTTTCAATGTTATGTCTATTATTTTCAAAATAATTTGCGAAATGTAAATGAAATGGAGAACTGTGACGCAAACTACTTTCTATATCTAAAGTATTATCATCATCATCTACAATATATGATGTACTGGTTTTTTCATTATTGGTGGTTGTAGGGTCTGGTATATCACTTTCGTCATGTAAAGTGATGTGTAATTGTTTTAATTTTTTCACCGCATTTCGAACAGAATCTCCATCAAATTTACTGCAAAAAACTATCATCATGTCTTCAAAAATTTCTTCAGCTTCTTTTAATGTTTTAGCGTGAATTAGCTCAGTAACAAACATTTTTGCAATTTGTCTTAACTTTCTATTTGCTCTATAATAGTTAATTTTCCGAATAGTTGCACGAAGTGTATGTACTGAACAAATATGAATAACTGTGATGTTCAAAATGTTTTCTGGCAATATTGATTTTTGAGCCCAAGTATATATATTACTCAAATAACTGCTTAGGTTTATGTCATTAAAAGCTTTCATTATTGCTTGTATTGATGCTATGCAGAAATCAACTTCTATCTTATTTATTATATTTTTGCCACCAGTTCGAGTCTTTAAAGCTGTTATGAATGTTGATAAAAAAATGGTAATATATAAAGTTGACTGAACAGCCGAAATAAATTCGGCTATTGGTAATTGTCCGTATTTATTGCTGGAGGAACCTTCAATTATTAAAGCATAATACAGTATTGGTGTGTTAGTTTCTGGAATAGGAGCAACTATTTTACCAGTAGCATCAAAATTCATAAACGTAAAATTTTGTTTTGATTTAGTTATAAGAACATCCAAATGTTCACCACTAAATAAAATCAAATAAAATGGATATCTAGAAAGTTGCTGAATGTAGCCGGGGCATTTTCGATCTGGCCAATCGTTTAAAAACGTTAATCTTAATTTTTCTAAAAAACACAGCCAGTTATTGTCAAGATCGTGCGATGTATTATTTTCACTTGAGATTTTTTGAGCCAACATCTGACTAGGAGCATCATTACGATTTCCACTGTCTAAAATCTATTTTGGAACTTTATGAAGACTTGTTCTTGTAAAAACACAAGGCTTTTTACATCTTAATTCATTTGCGAGATTTGCTCGCCTTTTTCCACGAATATGTCTGCGATTAACGTCATTAGGATCGTGGCAAATTATTCCATCAGAAAATATACTTACATTTAGATCTTTAAATGGCTCGGAGATAGGCATTTTAACAACGAATTTGAATTTTGTGCATTTTATGTTTTTGCATTTAGCAGTAGCTTGAAAATACAAATTTCGTTTTCTGCTGGAATTATAACACTTGTGATTTTTATAGGATAAGACACATGTAGGTAGTTTTTTTCGTATGTACTCATCAAATTCGTCTGTCCATTGTGGCTTTAACTGAATCCCGTTTTGCCAGAAGTTTTCCCAAAAAGAACGATCTACTGTTACTGAATCTTGGGGAATACTGTACAAATTAGATTTTTGCCGATTTGAAGCTGTTGGATTTGGAATATTTTCTTTATTTGTGGTACTCTTATTTATTCTTGCAATGCTTGACGATGTAGAGAGACTTGAAGAGAATCTTTCACTACTACATGGTATCATTTCAATATTATCAGTAATGTGATTTTTCTCGTAGCAATTAGATGAGTCCGATAGAAAATCTGTTTCTTGAACGTCCACAAGGTTATTTGTCCTTTTATCCAAATCAGAATTCAACTCTGGAGTTGTTAAAGCTGAATAACACTCTTCAATGGCATCATAATGTCGACGAAACATGTCATAACATTTTTTTACGTGTTTTTTTAATGTTTTCGGATGTTTAATAGTAGGGCATATATAGCGACATACCAATTCCCATGTACAATCTTTCTTCACATATTCATGACATTGTGACGAATAACGAAAATAATTTCACGACATCTGAGGTAATATATGTGCTAAAGCCTCTGCTAACTTTTCAAAGCTGATTTGCATGTTTTAAAGGAAAGGCAAAAATATTATCAAAAAATTAAAGACTTATATTTATTTCAATGTGACTTAACAAACTGACGTATCGCACATTCCCTAAAAACACTTTCATGACAACAAAAAAATCAGATTTGAGCAAAAAAAAATATTTTTTAAGTTCACACTGAAAAATTTCCTACAATTTGATACTTTCATATAATTAAACGGCGATTATTTTTTGTTAAAAAAAAGGGTAATTAGTGTTATCCGAAACTTTATCTTACAAATACAATAATTTGTTAACGTACTCTTGTAGCCTAATGCTTAAGGAATCCACTAATGTATGATTTGTCCCAATACGAATAATTTTTCTATTCATATTTTTTTATGTAAAGTCTCCAGAGCTTAAATATATTTTATAATTTTTAACGTTGTAACACTCGATATTGTATTTTCGATTAAGGTATTCTTGTAGCCTATTACTTGATGAATCCATTAGGATTTAATCATATGTTATTTTTAGCATAAAATTATATTAATTTCAATCAATCAACACTCGATATTGGATTATGGATATTTAGAAAAATCAAATTTTATGTGAAGTGTCTTCCGAGCCAAATTGTTTTTTGTTATTTTCAAAGTTCTAGCACTCGATATCGCATTTTATATTGACGTATTCTCGTAGCCTATTGCTTGAGTAATCCACTGATGTATCATATAACCCAGCGCCGATAGTTTTTCGTTAGGAGAATTTACACTTTTATTGGAAATGTCTCTCGAGCCTGAATGTTTTTTGATATTTTCAAAGTTCTAGCACTCGATAATGTACTTTTGATTAACTGATTCTTAAAGCATATTGGTTGAGGATTCCATCTATGTACGATAAAACCCAGCGCCGTAAATTTTTCTTAAAGAAAAATCATATTTTTACGAGAAATATTTCTCTAGCCTTACTAATTTTTGTTATTTTCCAAGTTCTAGCACTCGATATTGCATTTTATATTGACGTATTCTCGTAGCCTATTGCTTGAGTAATCCACTGATATATCATATAACCCAGCGCCGATAGTTTTTCGTTAGGAGAATTTACACTTTTATTGGAAATGTCTCTCGAGCCTGAATGTTTTTTGATATTTTAAAAGTTCTAGCAGTCGATAATGTACTTTTGATTAACTGATTCTTATAGCATATTGGTTGAGGATTCAATCTATGTACGATAAAACCCAGCGCCGTAAATTTTTCTTAAAGAAAAATCATATTTTTACGAGAAATATTTCTCTAGCCTTACTAATTTTTGTTATTTTCCAAGTTCTAGCACTCGATATTGCATTTTATATTGAAGTATTCTCGTAGCCTATCGCTTGAGTAATCCACTGATGTATCATATAACCCAGCGCCGATAGTTTTTCGTTAAGAGAAATCACATTTTTACTGGAAATGTATTCGGAGCCTGAAAGTTTTTTGATATTTTCAACGTTCTAGCACTCGATAATGTACTTTTGATTAACTGATTCTTATAGCATATTGGTTGAGGATTCAATCTATGTACGATAAAACCCAGCGCCGTAAATTTTTCTTAAAGAAAAATCATATTTTTACGAGAAATATTTCTCTAGCCTTACTAATTTTTGTTATTTTCCAAGTTCTAGCACTCGATATTGTATTTTATATTGACGTATTCTCGTAGCCTATTGCTTGAGTAATCCACTGATGTATCATATAACCCAGCGCCGATAGTTATTTGTTAAGAGAAATCACATTTTTATTGGAAATGTATTTCGAGCCTAAAAGTTTTTTGATATTTTCAACGTTTTAGCACTCGATAATGTACTTTTGATTAACTGATTCTTATAGCATATTGGTTGAGGATTCGATCTATGTACGATAAAACCCAGCGCCCTAAATTTTTCTTAAAGAAAAATCATATTTTTTCGAGAAATATTTCTCTAGCCTTACTAATTTTTGTTATTTTCAAAGTTCTAGCACTCGATATTGTATTTTATATTAACGTATTCCCGTAGCCTATTGCTTGAGTAATCCACTGATATATCATATAACCCAGCGCCTATAATTTTTCGTTAGGAGAATTTACACTTTTATTGGAAATGTCTCTCGAGCCTAAATGTTTTTTGATATTTTCAACGTTCTAGCACTCGATAATGTACTTTTGATTAACTGATTCTTATAGCATATTGTTTGAGGATTCCATCTACGTACGATAACACCCAGCGCCGTTAATTTTTCATTAAAAAAACAATATGTTTTTTGTGTTAGGTATTACTTTAGCATACAAATATAATAATTCCAACAATCCAGCACTTGATATTGTTTTTTTGATTAATGTGTTCTTGTACCTTATTACTTGAAGAATCTATTTATGTATGATTTAATCCAGCGCCGATCATTTTTCGTTAAGAAAAATTTGAATATATATTTAAAGTTTTTTTTTAAAGTACCTATATTCATATCATTTTTACTAATATTTTTTTCCCAAATACGGATATCCTCACTTTGTTATTATCATTAATATTGTTATTATTACTAATATTATTATAATAAGACAAATTAAGTAGTATTATTGCTTTATTTTGTGAAATATAACTTGTACGTATTTTCTCACACAGGCTGCTAACTCTGGCTGCTAGTTTCAGCTTCATGCCGAAATTTGGGTATTTCGGAATGAAGTACATTTTTTTCCTCTCTCTCATTCAGTACTCCCGGAATCTCCTTCACCATCATATTCATGTAAGGTATGAGAAAAACCGACACCCAGTGAAGGCAGTATCTAGTCCACTGATGAATTATATATTTCAGTACCATGGCAGTCATTCCAAACGCCACGCTCGCCGAGTTCCACGAGTATCTGGATGAGGATACCGGCCGAACCCACGTAATCTATTTTCCCAAGCGTCGTCCGAGCCTGGAAACCGAAAACTTGTTGCCGTCCATACAGACATCACCGCTACCCACCGCACCGTCACCGCCACTTTCCTCAGCATCGCTAATGGAGTTTTCCCCTTCCCCTGGCTGCCAATTTTTAAGAATTGGCCTAGATATTTGTTGGCGCTGTGGTGGCACCGGCCATCACCGCAACGTTTGTACACGGCCACCAATCCTGTTTTGCTCCCGTTGTGGTCGAATAGGCGTAATGTCAAGGAATTGTCCTTGCTAGTCACTCCCCAGTGATTCCGTTAAGAATATATACATATTTTTTTTTTCTCTCTTCATTTTCTCGTGCATTCTTCTCCTCTTGGTAAGGAGTATTGCTGTGTCTTATTAACAGAATGTCATGTTTAAGTTCTTTATAAGATCGCTTAGAAGGCAAGTTTTTTTTCTTTATGGCACCGATCAAGACCCATCGGAGGACCGACCGAATAATTAGGGTTCAATTTTTTTTTCCCTCGACGAAAGATTTTTCTTTTATTGTCTTTTAGTGACATGGACTCCGATACGTCATTCGAAGTACTAAGCCTGGTTGGATCAGCTCTGCCCGATGACGAAACAGAACCACTAACTCCAACTTTACAGGAAACGTTACCTGTCGTAGTAACTGACTTTACTCCTGTTGAGTCTGATACCGCCAAGTGGCGACACGATCCGTATGTCGGGAGCCAGTATTCTGAAGTCTCTCAAACAAGACACCTTCCGACTCGCACCAGACAAATGCGATTAGTACATGCTGAAGAGCCGGCCACCAAGAAAGTACGGTTTCCCGAAACTCCCGTATATCTTCCTGTGGATAAAAAGGTATGTTGGAAGTGTGGTTATCCCGGTCACCGTAGGAATTCCTGCAGTGGAAAGAAACTTTTATTTTGCTCACGTTGTGGTCTAGTAGGTACTATGTCCAGAAATTGTAAGTGTTCTCAGCTTACGACACCACTAAGTATATCCTCTACAAGCCATAGCTTCACATTACGCTCCCGGTCAGTGGGAGTGCAAGCTGACCTATGTCCGCGATGCCGTAGCATCGGAATCCAATATAACAAAAACTGATGACCAACAGAGAGCAAGCCCGAAAAAGAAGCAAGAACAGAAGATAAATG